CTCTTAACTGCTGAGCCATTTTTCCAGTTCTTGGCTAAGTGACTTCTAAAGTTATATCGTTCAGATAATTGTTGAAGAACTTGTTACTGTTTCTGAAAAAGAGACCATAGAGTGGTTTTTGAGGGGCACTGGATAGAATCTCAGGCTGATAAGATCAAAAGGGGTCAAAAAGAGTCAAGGAAGTTCTTCCTATATGTTGGTGGAAAGGAAGTTAATGTGTTTTGACTGTGAATGCACTTCCTAATCTCGTCAATGAGATTCTCAAAAAAAAATTACAGGTTTACAGATGAGGAGGGAGGAAGGTCAAACACAGAGATTTCACACAGTTCTAGTAACTTGGTAGACCACCTTGCAGGGCAGACTGAAGCCAACACAATGATGGGTCAGTGACAGGGACAGTGACCAGGACTGCTCGCTCTCGCTCTCTATCTATCTATTTGGTTTTTGGTTTCTAAAGATAGTTTCTCTGTATAGCCCTGGCTGTTCTGGAACTCACATTGTAGGCCAGATTGACCTTGGGCGGGGGAACCACTCCTGCAGAAACACCTTCTGCTGTCTTTGTCCAGACCAGAGAGGCACTCCACCCCCCTTGAAGGCACCCTTACCTCACTAGAGTAATAAATCTTCTTTGTGCTGAGAATTTGGTGTCTGGGTGTGTTCTGGGCTGACCCCCCCAGAGGCCCCTTACACTCACGCATGAGGGGAAGAAAATTTAAAGATGGTTGTTAGGACCGAACAAATTTTGTTGTTATTATTATTCTTTCCCTGAGGCTTGGAGCTCTCAGAAAATACAAGGGAATGCGGAGGTGGAGGTGAAATCACTGTGAAGATTCAAGGTAAACTCCTGTCTCTATTTCAAAAATAAAATTCCCCTTTGCCAGGCAGCATGCAGCCACTGCATCTGGCACAATTCTCATTTCATTCATCTCCAAACTAAGCTGTTAAGCACTTCACTGAGGAAGTGAAGCCTGGGGCACACTGCAATCACAACACTCTTGTTTTAAGGACATGATGGTGGGTGGGTGCAGTGGCTTGGAACTTTGATCCCAGCTGTCAGAAGGCTGAGGCTGGAAGATCAAGGTCATCCCAGGCTATGTATTGTTGAGACCCCATCTCTCAACAAAACAGCACAACAGGATGTTGGGATTCAGCTGGTGAGGTGCTTGCCTAGCACACACAAAACTCTGTGTTAGAGCCCAACACCACATAAAGCAGTGGTTCTTAAACTGTGGGTCAAGACCCCTTCAGGATTCAAATGACCCTTTCAGAGGGGTTGCCTAAGACAAGGAGAAAACACAGATCTTTACATTATGATTCATAAGAGGAGCAAAATTACAGTTATGAAGCAATGAAAATAATTTTATTGTTGGGGGTCACCATAACATGAGGAACTCCATTAAAGGCTCACAGAGTTACGAAGGTTGAACCACTGACCTGAAGCCAGGCACGGTGACTAATGCTTGTAACTAAGTACTTGAGAAGTAGAGGCAGGAGGAACCGAAGCTCAAGGCTGTCTTCCACCACAATTCAAAGCAGGCCAGGGAGACACAAGATGTAGCTATAAAATGTTACAACACCCATATTTTAACCAATGTTTCTGTAGGTTGACTCCAAGCCTTGTGAAAACAGACACAATTATCTCAGGTTTCTCTGTAAAACATAACTCATGGACCTTCCTTGGCGACACCTGGACGCTCATCCAGCTAGTCAGGGATCTGGGGCCTTGAGTAAGCCTCTTAGCCTCTTTCTATGAAGTTAAGGCCATGTACACCTTTTTCCAAGGCCACTGTGGAGAAGCTTCTAAGTAGCGGGATACTCCCACCAGGCTCCCGTATCTCAGGTCTCCCATATGTGGGTGAAGATGGTGAAGGCTAAAGTTATTTTTCAGGATCTTTGGGCCAGCTAAAATTCACTAAGTCTTCACTAGAGTCTGTACTTGTTACTGATACGTGACCTTTTGATGACAGAAGGCCAAAACCACACCCTTATGCATAATCAAACTTCCTTTGAAATAGGTCACATATTCCTGAAAGCAGCAGCCTTAAGAAGCTCCAGCAGTGTGGTTTAATCCAGATGCCTCTAAAGTTGGTGTTAAACACAAGTGATGGGCTAGGGATACAGTCCATTTGTAAAGTACTTGCCTAGTATGCATGAGGCTCTGGCTTCCATCCCCAGGACCATATAAACCACATACAGCGGGGCACCCCTGTAATTCCAGCACTCAAGAAGCAGATTCAGGAGGATCAGAAGTTCAAGGTAATCTTTGGCTACATAACAAGTTTGAGGCCAGCCTGGTGTCTCCAAAAAGGAAGGAAGGAAGGAAGGAAGGAAGGAAGGAAGGAAGGAAGGAAGGAAGGAAGGAAG